GTGAGGCCGCTCCACCTTCTCCGGGTGGGATTGAGAGGCTGCAGGGAGGTGGAAACTGTCCCATGGACAATTTTCATGAGCAGCTGTCCTACGGGCAGCACCGTGCAGGATCAGGCCCTGGATTTTGGCCTGGGACTGGATAACTCCCTGCAGCAGTGAAAGAGGAAGGCCTGGGAAGGGGAGCAGGGATGCTGACAATTCTTGAAGAGCAGCCTGCCGATGGGAATGGCAGTGGCAAGGCTTTGGGGAGCCAGCTGGGATGAGCTGTGCACCTGAAACAGGTCCCTTCCATTGCTGCAGGGGGTGGGAGGGGGTGAGGACCACTGTGGGATGCTGGGGGTGCAGGTACCCCCTTGCACACACATCCACGTGTGTGGGAAAAAGCTACTCCGAGCCCAAAACTCCAGTTTGCGGCTCTGTGGAGCCCTGGGAAATGGGGAGCCAAACCTCATCGTGCTGCACAGAGGCACAACTTGCTGCCTTCCTCTTGCTGAATGGAAATGCAAGGCTGAGATAGAAACAGCCTCTTGTGTTGACAGGGAGAAGCCTCCTGGCTCCGGAGTCTGTCTGGGTGGATCGTTTCCCCTTTCCCGGTGGGTTTTGTCACTGCCTGAACCATTCTGCTGCTTGTTCATCCCAGGCTTTTGTTTTGAGGAGGGGGAAGGAAGGAGAGATGGAGACTGTGCATTGCCATGAGGTTTCAGAGAGGTGGAGCAAGGAGGGAGGTGCTGATTTGGTTTTGCATCGTGATCAACAATCAAAGATTTCGGTGGCTGTGAGCTCCAGCCACCTGCTGGGTCTGCAGCTGGAGCGAGGAATTTCCAGTGGGGGGAAAGGAATCAGGGCTTTGCTGTGTGTTATTTCTTTAGGAGACACTCAAGGAAAAGCATGGACCAAGAAAGAGCCAGTCCCCAATTTTCCCCTTGATGGGAAGCGAGTATGGATGTTTTCCCTGCACATGCATCACCTGTGGGTCGTTAATTAGCAGGGGATGCTCATCATGTTAATCCAGCGATTATCAATAAGGACTGAATCAGTTCGGAGGAGAGACTCAGGATTTATTAAGCCAGGCAGCTCCAGTGAATCAGGAGGGCCTGATCCTGCCGGAGGGGGTGAGGACCAGCTTGAGGGATGTCAGAGGAGCTGTGCTGTGAGATTGTGGCTCAGCTCAAAGGCAGCTGCACCGTCAAACAAGTGCCAATCAAACGGTCTAAATGAGTCTGGATCCATCGTCTGCCCGTGCAAACCCCGTCAAACTTGTTTCGCTTCATGTGTCAGGGAGATGGGTCTCAGTCAACTCGGCAGAGTTTGTGCTGAGAAATCATCACATCCCAGGGCCTGAGTCAGACATTCCCCAGGGGTTACCTCCGAGAGCCTCTGGCGGGTTGGTGACGGCGTTTGCTCCCAAATTTTGTTCAAATGGCACTCGAAATGTTGTAGCCCCCACCCCCAACCCCCCAAGCACTGGAGAGATGCTCCTGCTGGGAGGTCAGAGAGCCACCACGTCCTGGGGCTCAGCTCTCTTTTCTAATCTCTGAAAGCACAGGATCGTGGAATCATGGAATGGTTTGAGTTGGAAGGGACCTTAAAACTCGTTCAGGGCAGGGATACCTTCCCCTGGACCAGGTTGCTCCAGGCCCCATCTGCAGGTCTTGTGTGGCGAGGTAGCACTTTAATTAACAGTACTGATGAGGTTGGAGACCCGAGGCCTTGTCCTCATGTTCCATGTGCATCCCCTTCCTCTGGACAGTCGGGATGGTGCAGACCCCTCTGTGCTGCCCTTGCCCTCGCCCTCGCTGTCCCCAGCTTGGTGACGAGCAGGACGAGGTGCTTGTGTGAGGAGCACGTCTTGGTGGCCCTGTGGTCCCAAACTCTTGGACAACCAAGAGTCCTTTGTCATCCCAGCACGGGGACACCAAGGCTATGTTGTCCCCAGCTGGGACACTGAACTGACCTGGTTTAGATATCCAGGAGGTGCCGAGATTTAATTTTATCCAAAAGCAGCAGAAAGGCTCAGCAGACCCAAATCTGACCCTTGTGGATCTCGAAAGACCATTTTGCTCGCAGGCAGTTCAAGTTTGGGCTCCCTCACGCAGAAATCCCAGCACTGGATCATCCTGGTTCCTGCCATCACGGTGGGACTGCTGGTGAGCACCAAAATACCACGCTCGACTCTTCCAACGGCGCCAGGGATGAAAAACTATGGAGCTGGGAAAGCAGTAGCACATTAGTACTGTTTATTAGGACAGCAAATTGTGCCAGGAAAGACTACACACAACAGCTAATGATAACATTATGCACATTCACTTAGTAGCTAATTAATCTCTTCGACTTTTCCTAATGTACAAAACGGAGCCTTCGGTTTTGTGAGAACAACCCCAACCGTTTGCATCCCTGATTTCCTGTAATTGGGGGAGTGGAAGGAACAGGGAGCGCAGAACCCGCCGCACACATCAAGTTGTTCACCTCGGCAGATAATAATAATGAGGCGATCATCTCCTGTAGTATTTAATTAGAAATGTCGCACTTAATTGATTTCTTGGATATGTTAATTAAGAAATAATGAGGACCAGGTTGCAGCGAAAGGTGCCAGCGAGAAGTTTGGAGTCTCTCCTGGAAGACGTGTCTGTTGGCTGCTCCCTGAGCCGGCGGGGGGACAACCAGGGGACAGCCCCGGGGTTGTGTCACCCGTGTCCCAAACCTTGGGCACAGCTCAGCTCCTTCCCTTTCTGCTTGTTGCTCATTTTCCTGCTCTGCATCCCGGTGTGTGCCCAGCTCCTGGCAGGATGGGCAGCAGGGCACCCCCATGGGCTGCCCGTGCCAGCGCTGGGCATCACCGGGATGTGGGATAACCTGGCAGATGTTGGATCCTGCCACCCTGGGAAAAGCAATTCTGGTGAATCTCTACCAATGCCACATAGCCAAGAGATGTTGGTGTCCCCTCCTCTTTGGTTGGCTCCTCTTGGGAGGGCTGTGATGGGGATCTAGAGCCTGGGATACCCTTTGGAGGAGCACAGGGGCTCCCCGAGTGCTGTGATGAACCTTTGGGCCAAGGTTTTTAGGGTACAAAAGCTCACCTGGGAAGCTGGCCTGGCTCTGAGAGCATTCCCAGTGCTGGATGTGGAGTCTTGGAGCGGTCCTGGCGGTGGGAGATGCCCCCAGCTCCAGGTATCTCCCGGGGTTGCTTTAGGAAACATCCCCTTTTGGCTTTTCTCCCCTTTTTTTATGGCTTGTTTTGCACCTGGCATCTCATCCCCCCTGATCTGAATGCACCTTACAACAGCAAATCCCTCGGGATGTGGAGAGGGGTCACCTGCCGGCACCGGCACGTCTTCCAGCGGTCCCTCCACAGCCCCCTGAGGGCGTGGGCACCCCTGGGCATCCCGGGGCACCTCCAGGAACACCCAGAGACCCCCGGGCACCCCCAGGAACACCCAGAGATCCCCCCCAGGCCCCCACCGCTCGCTCCGGCTCTTTTTAACCTCCTCGGTAGAGTCACCAACCGCGACACTTGGTGTGTAACACTCGGATCTGCCTGGAATAAAGGAATTTAAACGGAGCTGCCGTGTGCTCTGTGTGGACTTTTGATGGGAAGGGTGATGTGGATGTGGGGATTTACCGGCTGGTTTTACAGGGAAGAAGCTGCTGGGGTGGGGATTTCCCCTGAAGCACGAGAGGATGTGGGAAGGGGGTTTTCCCAACGGCAGGAATTATGGCATTTGTTTGTGTGTGTGTATAATTATACATTATACATATATGATCACAAAATATGTATAATGTTAAAACGTACAATATATGGATAATTATATGTGTAATATAATTATAATCCAGTACACATAATAAAATATGTAAGTAAATAGATACATTTTAAAATGTGTAATTAGATATTATGTATAATATACCAAAACCACAAAATACCATATATATTATATATGTACATATATATTATATGTAATATATATAAAATATCTTTTATATATATTATATGTAATGTATATAAAATATCTTTTATATATATTATATGCACAAATGCCTGAATATATTTTGTGCATAGACACTCATAAATTATAAAATGTAAATTATAAACTAGAATATACACATTATACACACATTTATATGTATATGTTTTGTTCACACATATATATATGTATAAGTATATATGTGTATCTGGTATATTTTGTATAAAATGGTTGTATTTGTGTGTGTATATTTTGTATTTATAAATAAGTATATATTTTATATTTATAAATAAGTATATCATATTATCTATATAATGTACAATATGTATATACTATATAATGTATGTTTATCTATATATATAAATATTATACACACATATAGACAAATACAATAATTTTATATAAAATATTACATATTTTATATATTTATATATAAAATATGTTAGGAAATTACTTTATATAAATATATAAAGTATTTTTTAAATTATTGTAAGTGTCTTTTCCCCAAAATTCCAGGAAGACATGGGAAGAACGCCCAACCTTTATCCCCCCAAGACCCTCCCAACCTCCCAAGCCCCTCATTCCTGGGGGGTCCCAGGAGTGCCTGGGGACCCGTGGGGGGTCCCTTCCCCAGT